TGATTTGACAAGTTTATGTATTCTGTGTTTGCCACAAGTGTAGCTACCATTTGTCCTATTATATCACCATTACAGTGTCACTGACTGTATTTCTTATGCTGTGCCTTTTTTTCCCCATGATTTAGTCATTCCACAACTGGAATCCAGTATCTCCCCTTCATTCATTTTGCCCATCCCCCACCTCCCTCTCCTCTGGCAACCATCAGTTCTCTGTATTTATAGGTCGGATTCTGCTTTTTGTTTGTTCATTTGGAAAGTTGCTTTTGGTTGGTTGTCTTGTTTTTTTAGACTCTCCTTATTAATGGAATCCTATGGTATTTGTCTTTCTCAGTCTCACTTCTTTCACTAGCATAATGCTCTCTAGGTCCATCTGTGTTGTCTCAAATGACACAATCTCATCCTTTTTTATGGCTGAGTAATATTCCTGTGTGTGTGTGTGTGTGTGTGTGTGCGTGTGTGTGTAAAATATTTTCCTTATCCATTTGTCTATTGATGGACACTTAGGTTGCTTCCATATCTTGGCTATTGTAAATAATGCTATTAACATAGAGGTGCATAGATCTTTCTGAATTAGTGTTTTTGTCTTCTTTGGGTAAATAGCCAATGAATTATTGGACCCTATGGTATTTCTATTTTTAATGCTTTGAGGAATTCCATACTTTTTTTTACCTCGTTGTGTCTTTGATTTGAGTTTCCCTGATGATCAGTGATGTTGAGCATCTTTTCATGTGTCTGTTGGCCAACTGGATGTCTGCTTTGGCAAAATGTCTATTCAGGTCTTCTTGGGCCTCCAGCCTTTTTTTGCACATGTGGAATTGTTCTGCAAATTCTACCACTTATCAGGTCTCATGTAGAGACCCATACTGGGGTTTAGAGTACTTAGGAAGCAAGGAGGATCTCTTTCTCCTTGTTGTCATCAGGGCTACTCTGAGCAGAGGGAGATCAGGAAGCAGGGAGTGACCAAGATTCCACAGTGGGCAGACAGCTTTGAGTTCATTGTGAGCACCTCCTCCTCTAGCAAGTGACCTACCAGTCAGGGCAGGTTATGCCCTGGAGGTGTGTAAATGGGGACTCTCCACAGTCTAAATAGTATCTGGAATTCTAGTGAGAAAGACTAAATTCTGACAGTCTGTCCTTAAATGCAGAAAGAGTCACCCAAAAATAAGTCCACAGGGTCTGAAGTTGAGGGGAAATGGAGGAAGATGGTGCTGTCTTGGTTATCTCATTGATATACTCATGATCATGGGCAGCTGTCAGCCCAGAACACGGCCTGCCTTTACCTTGGCTTTACATTCTTCCTTCCAGGTACCCTCAACTTTGACAGAGTGAACAGTTCCTACATACTTACTCAAATGTTTCATGAACCTGTTTTTACCTGTCCAGGTAACTACTTTAGGCTTAGAACCTTGGTATACAAGGGATGAAGAAAGACTGAAAGAAAGAGTTAATATCCAGGTAAATATGGTTGACTATTGTCTTCATTTTTTTTTTTTAAGATTTTTTTTTATTTGCCAGAGAGAGAGCAAGAGAGTGCACGCGCACAAGCAGGGGGAGTGGAAGGCAGAGGGAGAAACAGACTCCTCACTGAGCAGGGAGCCTGGGACTCAATCCCAGGACCCTGAGATCATGACCCGAGCCGAAGGCAGACGCTTAACCGACTGAGCCACCCAGGTGTCCCTTGTCTTCATTTTCTACTGCTGCTGCATAACAAATCAGCACCGATTTAGCAGGATAAACACAAATTTATTATCTCACAGTTTCTAGGTGTAAGATGTCCAGGTAAAAGTCAACTGTGGTCTCTGCTTTAGAGTCTCACCTAGCTGCATTCAAGGTGTCATGTGAGCTGTGTGGTCATCTGAAGGCTAACCTAGAGATGAATCTGAGCTCACTCACATTGTTGGCAATGGTGCTCAGAAGTTTTCGTGGTTTTGTTGTTCTGGTGGTTGCCGCTGGCTGTTGGTTAGAGGCCAGGCTGCAGTTCCTTGACATGTGACCCATTCCACACCCGCCCCCTCCACAGGCACTTGACAGCATGACAGGCTTTTTCTTCAGGGCCACCTGCATAGCAAGAGCATTTCTGTTAACAAAATGGAGTGTTAATATAATACCGAGAGTCAGGGGAGTCCCATATCCCCTTTGACATACATAAGGACAAATAAAAATTTAAAATAAGGGAAAAGTACAAATATTGAATCATGTACACCTGAAACTAATAAAATACTATGTCAATTATACCTCAGTAAAAAAATAAGAAAAAATTCAAGTCTTCCTCGTGCAAATCAAGAAATGCGACTCCTTTTAGAGCAGTTATTTTAGAAAACTTGTAAATACTTGCTCTGCTTCACTGAGATCTTTGTAACTCTTAAGAGCTGATTACGCTTCTTGCCAGTTTACAGCCTAGCAGTTTTTTCTCAAGTAACTGGGAGTCAGGCCCTTGAAATGTGAACATTAAGTAAAATAGCACCCCTATCTGCCAGTCTCCATGAAATTAAACAGCTCATGTCTCCAAGTTGTAAAAAACTGTCTCCTGTCATAAAGAAATGAGAAGTTGTTTTTCTTTTTTTCCATTTGGATAAAGGCAATTAGCTAACAAAGATGCTCTCCCCTGCCCCAAATTATCAGGCAATTTTATGATGAACTATGTGTAGTAAATGATGCTGTCAAGTCCTCTTACTTGAGGAATAGTTACTATTAGCTTAAGATCATGCATGTAATGGGTTGTATCTATTTGGCTATATAAATGGGTGAGCTATCTTTCTGTCTTAGCAATCTCTTTAGCAATGTGATGGGTGTCACATTCTGGTTCAATGCTTATTAAATAATAAAACCTTTTTCTCTCCTTCCTATGTTTTGTGGAGAGGCATTTCTGAGTTGGCAGGAGATTTTGTTTTCAATTAACTACCCCAACAAATTTGGCAATGAGGTAAGACTTCTGGAAGTTCCTGAATCGTGTGAATAAGAAGTTCTGCGGACACCCAATAGTCAGGTAAGAGACCTTAACTCATAAAGTCTCCCTTCTAGCTCTCTGCTCTTTTGGAACACTTGTCGGAAAAACCAACCTCTCTGAATTCAAGATTTTTCTATAAAATAAGCATGAGAATATGGGCTCTAAAATCACATTAGGATCACCATCAGCTTTGATTATGGAAAAATATGGGAAGCTGGGAATGTTACCTACAGTTCTTTGTCTTTAACATGTCCTCTCTCTGTCACATTAGGAATGGTATTCCTTTAAGAATCTAGTCTTGCAGTAGCCTGAGGACACTTCTTTTAATTTGTATAACGAATACGCAGAGGTTCTCAAAAGGGCCTCATCTTAACCAAATGAATTATTGGTATGCATGGGATTCATATCATTCATATAGGAAAGTTAAATATGACTTGAATAGCCAGAAGGAAAAACTGGAAAAAAAAAGAAAGGCCCTTTTCTCAGCTATTCCTGCTCTCTGCTCCCCTGCTTCTATTTTTCCCCACATTAAATCAAGTCCTGGAATGAAGGAGGCAGTGATCTTTCAGCTGCATTGTTGCCTTCATTAGTGGACTTCCCTGCACAGAGGGACTGAGGCATAACTTTGTTAACTGCTAATGAATTACCTGCCCTGTTTGAGGACACAGGTTTGTGTAGATCATGCTCTAGCCTGGGTCCACTTTATGTCTTAGCCAAGATTCGACCTACAAGATTCCCATGTCATCCACACACCCAGTAGATAGGAAAGCAGTATGATAAAGAAAAATGATTACAGAATAATTGAGAGCTTGAATAAAAGATGATGCCCTCATATGAAGGCAACAGGATCAAGAGTAGTTGAACTAGTCACTTGGGACAAAGCAAACAAAAAAAGGTGTTAAGCTGATAAATGTCAGTATGGGAAGGTTAACCAAAAGACCACATAACTTATATTTTTCTTACTTCAATATGAGAAAAACCAGCCCTTCCTATTGGGACCACCAGCATTTGTTGTTTTTTTTTTTTCAGGTGGGGCAGCCTGTTTATTGACCAGACATTTAGTGGCTGTGAGCAGCGTGGGAGCTGGGATACAAGCTGAGGTAATATCTTTCCCTGCCCCTCGGGCACCCTGTGGACCACCCGGCCCCCAAGCAGGTGGACCTGGTCTGAGAGGTGGGGCCTCATGGCCCAGCCAGCAGGCCCTGGCCTGGAACAAATCTGTTACTTAGGAGGACAGACCTAGTGTCACTCCATTCACTTTGGGATGCAAGTTCTCTCCAGCCCCAATATATAGAGAAGCTTATCCTCAAGGCTTAAAAATAGTCATGTACAGTAAGTAAACACCAAAAACTCAAACTCTACCCTTTGACAGGCATCTCCTAATCAGATTTTGATACTAGATAATGGCCATGGGTGTCTGTGTTGACACGTGGGAAAAATTATTCAGGGAGATGGAGCAGTTACTGAAGGGCCTAAGCCATGATGTAGATCTTACTTCCATGACTAAGGGAAACTCAGGAGAAATACAACTCTTAGTTAAAAATTTAGATTACCAGGCTCTAGAGTTGGGTAATATTTTATAAGGAATTACAAAATAGTACTCAGATAGTTAACAGGCAATAAAGCATCATGACAACTTATAAAATTAATATATGATGGAGAAGTTTTGCATGTTGTTAATCAAGAATCTGCTTTAACCATCCACTATTAGTATGATATATTTAAAGGTTTTTTCCCCCAAGGCAAATAATGTACTGAATTTATCCTACTTTATTTTTGTAATTCCCTTGCCTTATAATTTACTATGGACTTATTGGCTATTTAGATGGCTGCAATTTGCCCAGAGAAAGGTAGAAGTGGCAGTGGAGAGAATTTGTAAAACTGTACTGTTACTACTTTGTAGTAACAAAGGTATGGTATTATAAGGATAAATAAGTTAAAAATAGTTTTATTCTTCTGGTGCCACAAAAAGGCGGGGAGGGAGTATCATCCCCCCCCCCTTTTTAAATAGCATTTACTTTAGAAAAAGTGTAAATAGAAAACCTTTCTCTTGGAAAAGCTGAAGAAGCTTCTTACCAATTTTATATCCCAGGAATGTTTTCCTTTGGATAAAGACTATCACAGAGGACCACCCCAGTGACCACATGCATTTAGGAAGAAATAGGTGTGACAGATGGACCCATCAAGTCCTCTTCCTTGTGGACTAGTTATCTTTCCTCTTGAGGAAATGTATAGAATGGGTTGTATCTGCTTGGCGACATAGAAGAGTAAGGTTTCTTTTTGACTTTGCTTTTTCTTCAGTTGCTTGCCTGGGATGTACATCATAGTCCAGTTTAATGCTTATTCAGTAATAAAACTTTGTTCTTTCCTATATGATAATGTTGAATACTACCTGAGCCCTGTGATCCGGGGCAACAGTGAAGGTTAGGCAGTCCACCGCTTCTGTGTTCCAGGAAACAGCTTGCCTCAAAGATCCATTCTCCGTATGAGTTAGGTAAGACACATAGCTGCTCTTAGATCCTCAGAAATCCCATTCTTGGCCTCATAAATGGTTAGCCCAACTTTGGTTAAGCTTCTCTTCCTCCTGTAGGCCCACCCTCAGCTGAGCCAGCATGCAACCCCTTTTGCAAATAGACTGGCCTCAGGGTAAAACGTTCTCTGATCTTCTGCCCAATCACACCGTCTTTATCCTGCTTCCACACATACACAGCTTTGTGTATCCTCTCTCCAAATGGAAAACTCTTTTGGCCCACCTCATGCTTGACATCCATGCAGATCTTATGGGCATGGGTTCTCCCTACTATAATAGTTCCCTTTCTACCTTTGCAGTTATCCCTTATGAAGGAATGTCTCTCCTTACTAAGTTCGATTGGTTTTTATTTTCCTTTTTTTGTGTGTGGAGACAAATTTTTGAGTCAGCACGATAGTTTGCTTCTCATTATTTCCCCAACACATATAATGTCATGTAATGGGGGTGACATCTCCTCACCTTCGCTAGAGAAGCAAGTCACAGGCCCTACCTAACCTTAAGGATAGGAGTACACAAAAGCACCATTACCAGGAGATGGGGGTCATAGGAATGCCATGAGACTCTGACTGCCATAGTCCACCCTCTGGGCCCCAATGTCTCATGTTCCTCTTTTTCATTTACCCTCTCCCCAGATCCCAAAACATCTTATCCCACTACAGCATCAGCTCAAAATCCAAGCCTCATCATCTAAATCCCTAAGTCTAGCTGCAGATGACGAGGCTCTTGGGAGGAAGTTTATTAAGCATACCAGTTGGGCAGAGTAAATCTCTATTTGTGGACCTATGAAGCAAGGAGCTAGGTCATCTGTCCTCACACATCCCATGTACAATGGCAGGATAGGAATAGGATCACATCTGTAGACACTGTTGTTCAGAAACAGGCAAATGGGAAGTACAAGAGTCAGTGGATAGTAGCACTTCTGAAATACCACTGAGCAACTATTGTCAGTTCCTTGATTAGATTTCAAAGCCTCAGCATAATTCCCCAGGCTCTCACCTCCATCTTGGGGTTCTTGTATCCATCCTCTGAGTCATCCTTCTTTTTTATTTTTTAAGTAATCTCTACCCCTAACACGGGGCTCTAACTCATGACCCCGAGGATCAAGAGTCATATACTCTACTGACTGAACCAGCCAGGTGCCCCTCACCTTTCCTTTTTTTTTTCTTTATGGAAGATAGCATTTGTATTTGGAGTTAACCATGATCAAATGCACAGAGGCAGGTACTTGTAACACCTACCTTGCCTCTCCCAGTGGAAACTTGATTTCTAGTTTATCCAGGATTCAAGAGTAACTGTGAAGAGCCCTCCTACATCCTATGCTTTAGTCTCTCAACACTGAGACAGACACAGCATCTGAAGGTCTCCCACAGCCTTGCCTCACCCACCACATAGCTAAGCCTCAACTTCCTTTCCACTGAAAAGCTGCTTTCCCAAGTGTCCAAACGGACACTTACCTGCTCTCACCTGGACTTGCAACTTCCCATCATCTTCTAGGACTCTGATACCTCCTAGCTTCCAGCCGGCCCAAGACACAAAGTCCCGAGTGACCTCAGGGCTACCTAATTTGAGTTTTAATTTCCCCTGCATTCTTGGATACGTTAAGCAAATTCACATATGCATCTTTTAATTTTACAGAGTGACAGACTGAAAGTATTAGGAAAGCCACAAGTCAACTATCTCTGAAGCCCAACAACTTTCCAAAGAAACACCTACTCAGTGCAGTGATAGCCTGTTCCAGATCATAAAATAAGAGGGAAGAGTATCTCTTACTCTTAAACCTGACACACAGCAATAAAAGAGTTCTGGTCCAAGAAGGCGCTGTATGAAGACCCTGAACTCACCTCCTCCATGGAGATACCAAAGCTACACCTATTTATAGCAGAACGAAGGGCTGACTGAACAGCTTCTGCACAACAAAAGACAGACCATGAAAAGAATGGCAAGAAAGATGAAAAGACGGTAGTCTATTCTGTGTGTGTGTGTGTGTGGTGAAGGGAAGGGGCACTGTAGTGGGGAGGGGAGGGACACCATGAAACTACAGTATTATGTAGTATCTGGATGTGGAGAAGGGAAGGGAGAAGATACTGTTTGTGTGATTGGGAGGGAGGTAAGGAAAGTTTGTGGCTGGGGGAGAAGGGACAGTGGACTGTGGGTGAGCAGAAAAAGAAGGGAAGGGACAGTGTAGTGTGTGTGGAGAAGGGAAGAAATAGTGTAGAATTTGTGTGTAGAGAAGAGAATGAATAGGGTGGTGTGTGCAGAAGGAAAGGGGAGAGAAAGGAATAAACAGTTTGGAGGGGGCAGGGAGGAAGGGATGCTGTAGTTCAGGTGAGTAAAGAACGGAAAGTAGAGTAGTGTCGTGTGGAAGAGGGAAGGGAAGGCAAGCAAGAGTATAGCATGTGTGCATGGAGAAAAAAAGGAGGAGGTAGAACACGAGAGGGAAGGAATAGTGTAGTGTGTGTGGAGAAGGACTGGCATAGTGTCATGTGTATATGGGGACAGGAAAACTAGGGAAAGTGTGGCATCGTGTGTGTTTGGAGAATGGAAGGGAAAGGAAGCAATGGTGCCGTGGGCGGGGGGGTGGGGTGTGGAGATAAGATGAGCGAGAGGATAGTGTGTGTGTAGGAAAAAAGGAAGGTAAAGGAGGGGAAAATGTACCGTGTGGACATGGGAAGAGAGGGAAGGGACAAATGGGAAAGGATTGTGGTATGTGTGTGAGAGGGAAGGAAGGGATGGAACAGGGTAGTGTGGGTGAGAAAGGAAGAGAAGCTAGGAAGGGATTCTACTAGATTCTACTGTGTATGTGTCGAGATGGGAAGAGAATAAAAAGGAAAGTGTAATGTGTGTAAGTAGAGGAAGGAAGGAGGGGAGGAAGTCTGTGGCGAGAAGGGAAGGGGCAGTGCGTGCATGCTGTGTGTGCAGTAAGGGAAGAAAGGGGAGCGTGTACCGTGGGTAAAGTAAGGGTAGGAATACTGTAGTGGTGTGTGTGTGTGTGTGTGTGTGTGTGTGTAGGGAAGGGACATACCATATGTGTAGGAGGGGAGAGTGCAGAGAGTGTATGTGTGTGTGCATGTGCATGCACGCCGAAGGGATGGGAATGGAAGGCGGGAGAAGGGAAAGGAGTGTGTAGTGGTGTCTGTGTGGGGCGAAGGGAATCCTGAGACTGTGGTCTTCAACCACAAACTAAAAAAACTAAAGAAACCAGCCAACCCTTGCTAAAAGTCCCTTTTGCTCTCTCTCCCTCACTTCTGAAAGCCTTGTCAGATTGGTATGGGAAGGAACTGTGGACATTCTAAGTGACCTTTCTCAAACCTCCAGGACTTTACTCTTTCTGGTCTCCCCGTGGGCTCTCGCGCCCCACAGGATCTCAGAGCATGGAGGCTCTCTGTCTGGCACCTGGTGGTACTCGGGGTACTTTTCCTGCACCAAATCTCTGGTCATGAGCTTCCTGGGCTCCCACAGATGAAATGCTTCCTCCCGGCCTGCATCGCCATTATATTCAGGAATTCTGAGATCTCCTCAGCGGAGCAGTTGCCCTTCATGAAGGTCACACCCAGGAGAGTCATCTGGAGCCCAGTCTCGGGCAATTGCTGCCACCATTCAAGCTGCCATCGCTAGTGATGTCCAGTTTGCTGGTAAGGCCATAGAAATGCTCGGTAGAGTACACTTCTTTGAAGTTAAGGCAAAAGACTAGCTCCCAAGTGTTCAGAGGCATTCCAGAAGGTCACAAGGAAGAGCTCCTTGTACTCTTTTCAGCATGTCTGCCTTCGTAACGAGTGTTCATTTTATATTTGAGCAAAAAGAACTGTACCAACAAAGTTACCTTCTTGATGAGAAAGTCTCAGCATGAATATCTACCAGTTATGTGTGTCTGTGAGTATGCGTGCATATCTATATACAAAAGTTTGCTGGAAAAAAAAAAAAACTAGCCTTACTAAGTGTGATTTACTGTGATGTTTGCTAATTCTCACCCATACACTATATTAAAATAATTAATAATAAAGGCTGTACTTACCTCTGAGGAGGTTTCGGATGTGCTGTCCTTATGCGAACCCATGGATACGGACAGCCGTGGTCTCTGGCGCCCTCTGAGAGTCACACAATGAAGCAGTAGAAACTGTTTGTCCCAAGACACACTGGGAAGATACAGGGGCAGAATTTTAAAATTCTTCCTCCACTGATGATGTCCTATGCATTTATTGCAGGCTACACAACCACCCCAACTTTAAGGCACACAGCTCACCTCCACCACGTGCTGGGGGGAAAATACTTACCAATCACCTATCTGATCTAAGATTTGTGTTTTGTTTTCTTTGGCATATAGCTAAAGACACTTTTATCACATGCATATCATTCCCCACCCCCCCCCAAAAGAGTTCTCTATATTTAACAGCAAGAAACAATCTAATTAGAAAATGAGCATAAGGCTTGAACACACAGTTCACCAGAAAGGACCTATGGATAGTAAATAAGGAGATGACAAAATATTCACGTCATTATCCATTAGTATAATGTAATTTTAAGCCACAACAACATACTGCCACTTACTTACCTACTAGGGTAGGTAAAGTAGAAATTACTGAAAATACCAAGTGCTGATGTGGGTATTGAACAAGTAGATCTGACATTCATTGATGGTGAGAGTGTAACATGGTCCAGGATCTCTGGAAATCAACTTGCTCGTTTCTTACAAAATTAAACATATGACGGAACAAACCCCTTCTGAAAATTTACCCTAGAGAAATGAAAATAGATGTTCACACAAAACACCATACACAAATGTACATAACAACTGTATTTGTAATAGCCCCAAACCAGAGGTAGCTCCAATCTCCTTCAGTGGATAAATGGATAAACTGTTGTACTGGGAATACTATTCAGCAATCAAAAGGGATATACTATTTATCCTCACAACTTGGATGGATCCCAAGTGTATTAGGCTTACTGAAAAACCCCATTTCATAAAATTATGTAATTTTTATTCATAAAACTATGTAATTTTTAATGCCATTTGTATAACATTTTCAGAAAAGAAAAATTATACTAATAGGGAATAGATCAGTGGCTGCCAAGGATTACATTTGCTGTGATTGTAATAAAGAAGGAACACTAAAAATAGAACTACCCTATGATCCAGTAATCACGCTACTGGGTATTTACCAAAATATACAAATACAGTAATTCAAATATGATGCATGTACCCCAATGTTCACTCCAGCATTATTTACAACAGCCACACTATGGAAGCAGCCCAAGTGTCCACTGATTGTTGAGTGGATAAAGAAGATGTGTATGTATATATATATACATGCATACATACAATGGAATAATATTCAGTCATCAAAAAGGAAGAAAATCTTGCCATTTGTAATGATGTGGATGGAGCTAGAGTATAATGCTAAATGAAATAAACCAGGGAAAGACAAATACCTTATGATCTCACTCATGGGGAATTTAGAAACAAATGAGCAAGGGGGAAAAAAAAGACAAACCAAGAAACAGACTCTGAACTATAGAGAAGAAACTGATGGTTACCAGAGGGGAGCTGAGTGGGGGGGAATGGGTGAAACAGGGGATGGGGATTAAAGAGTACACTTATGATGAAAAAAAAATAAACCCCAAACGAGAAGGAACATAGGGAGTTTCTTTGGGGTTTGGGGAAATTTCTGTGTCTGTATTCTGGTAGAATTCATACAGATTTATACATGGGATAAAAATGTCTTTACCTATATACCAAAGAAAACAAAACATAACAAAAAGCACTGATTGCCTGTCTACTTGAGTCTGGTGAAATCCAGATTTGATTGCAGTTAAATACAACTCTACCAATGTCAATCTATGAGTTCTGGTAAATGAACTATCACAATGTAAACAGATTTGTTCGGCTGAACTGGTTGTAAGAGCCACAGGAACTCTCTGCACTATTTTTACAATTTCTATGTAAGTATAAAATTATTTCAAAATGAAAGATTTTAAATAGGGAGGCTGTAACTTGCACAATTATTAGTCTTTGCCGATATCCAGTTTTCTGTCCTTCTAGGACACAATTTCTGGGGTCTAACTGCAGTTTACGGAGCCAAATGATAATACGCTTCTGATAGATGCAGTGATTGCAAATAAAATGCAGAGCTATACAAAGATTGTGGGATATGAGACCTACCTATGCAAATGTGGAAGGAGAGGCAAGGAGTAATCTGTGTTATGATTGGTGGAAAAGATAAAGCAGCAGTCACAAATAAAAGGGGAAAACCTGCTAAAGGGAGACTATACAACTTCTATTAAATTTCTAATACAGGGAAATAAACCTTATTTCCTGTCCCCTTCACTGTACATTACCCTCACTCAGTTGCCACTTAGGCAATAAACGCAACTTTCTTAGAAACACAAATCCTCCCCACACTACACAGTGAGTAGTGATTTACATTGTGCTACAGTTCATGTGATAACCTGGAGATGGCTAGTACAGATTTTTTTTTTCAAGTACATCCAGTCTAGTTTATTATAACCATAAAGATACAGCTCTGGACTCCATGTATCCCTGCCATCCGTGGTTATTTTAATAAACAAACAGTCCCATCGTCACAGATTCTCCAGCCACCCTACAAATGTCTGCATTCTGAGTCAACCTCTTACCCTAGGAAATAGCTGGTGGCAATAGAGGCCACCAAATGCAGCCATAGGACACCTGGCCTCTGGTGTGCCAGGAGCTCAGGAACCATGGAGGATAGCCCGAGTTGCAGATACCATCCAGATCATTTTTTTCAGACATGTCCACACTCGGCCCTTTATCTGTAGAATCACTGAGGCAATTGGCCTAAGCATATCCCCCCCTCAATTTCCACCTCCCTGCGGTGGTAGGCCCCTCCCACTGCTCACTGGTATTCTTGGCCCATCTCAGCTGTCATCACTTAGCAAACCTGCCCTGCCTGCAACACTGGTGGGGATGCAGTGAGCCCCACAGCAGCCAAGAGCTATAGCCCTGCCAGGATCCAGCATGCAGCATCGCCACCTGATGCAGGAAATCCATCTGTGGTCTGCCTGACTTTGGGCAAGGAGATTTCAGAGGCAGGGTGGGGTGTCTGGCACACCTCTAGTCCTTTCATCCAGTAGACCTGCCCACTGAGACCACCTCACAACTTCAGCTGGTGGCGGCAATTTGGAGCTTTGCCAAGCCTATTAACAGTTCCTGGACCCTCTACCCACATTCCCAGCTCTTCTCCTTACGGTTCTTTGTCCACTTTATGCTCAACCCTCGATCCAGAATGCTGACCACCAACCTGCCCTGGGCTCTTCTAGATGAGGTTTTACATGTGGTCTCTCGCTCATGGGCTCTGGCAATTGCTCTGACCTCCAAACTTCACTAGCTCAGGGTGTCCTGCCTGGCTCCACTGCTCAGCAACTGATCCTTCTGTCACGTCCTTGCTTTTACAAGTAAAGGAGGAATGTCTTTCAAAATAATAAAAGTATGCCGAGAAAAATCCAGGCACTCAAGACATTAATGCAGAAATCCCACTCTACAGGGGTAAGGGATTCATTGAATTTATCTTCAACCTGTTTGGAAAAAAGGAAATAAAAAGTAAAACAATATGGAGACCATCTTTCACCCCAAAGTTTGACCATGATTTCAAAGTATGATGAATAAAACGCCTAGGAGGATGTAAGGCATTCACACACATTAACTGGACAGACTATGAAGTGGTATAGCATTTTTGGAACAGAAGGTCAATACTTGTAAAAATTCCCAATCTTCACACTCACCCGCTTTAATCAGGCTTGCACTTTGCTACATCTTTCCTATGAGAGCGCAGGCACATTTGCCCAAGATTTCATGTTCAAAGATGTTGATTTCAGTCCTGTTAATCATAGCAACAAATGGGAAACAATTTATATGTCCATTAGGAGGAGAATGGTTAAATTAATTATTGCACAAACATAAGTAGGATGATCCTTACCTGGTCTTTCTTTTGGGGGGAGGGCTTGGAACTAGATGATTGGAGTTTCCAACAATACATGATTAACGTCTCTTTGTAATCAAGACTTGCAATGCCCTGATTGCTCCTATCTTCTTCCTGACGAGGTCTCCTTCAATAGGCCAAAAGGTCTATGAAAAGATGCTCAACATCATTAATTATGAGGGAAATGCAAATCAAAACCATAATGAAATATCACCCCATATCAGTTAGGATGGTTATTATATTAAAAAAAGTGTTGGCAAGAATGTGGAGAAATTGAACCCTTGCACACTGTTAGTAGGAATGTAAAATGGTGCAGCCACTACAGAAAACAGCATGGAAGTTCCTCAAAATATTAAAAATAGAACTACCATATGATCCAGCAATCTCATTCCTGGGTATAAATACTCAATGGAATTCACGATCTCAAAGAGATACCTGCATTTTTACCCTCCTTGTAGTACTATTTACAATAATTGCCAAGTTATGGAAAGAACCTAAATGTCCACTGAAGAGAAATGGATAAAGAAAATGTGATATATATATATATATTTCTATATATCTTTAAGATTTATTTATTTTAGAGAGAGCATGTTCGGAAGTCGGGGAAGGGGCAAAGGAAGAGAGAATCTCAGGCAGACCCCCGCTGAGCACAGAGCCCCATGCAGGGCTCAGTCCCACAACCCCAACGATCATGACCTGAGTCAAAACCAAGAGCCGGACACTTCACCGACTGAGTCACCCAGGTGCCCCATATGTTTTAGTAAATATATACACATTCACACACACACACAGTTGATAAAGGAAATTTTCAACTTGTCTTGTTTGTGGGCCCTGCTCCTAGGCTCCCTCAGAAGCTTTACTTTAACATTCACCAAGGTCAAAATGACTCAGCAAAACCTTGAAACATGAGCTCTATTTCTGCCTTGAGCACACTGTACATCTGCTTCACTAAAACAATGAGGAAAGGAACATTCCAAACATAAAGGTAAAGAAAAAAAACCTCCCTGGCTCCCATAAGATGAAAGTCATACAAGCCTTGCACATACTAAAAACATAAGATAAAGTCTATAACTTTCTGTAATGTCCTTTGTCGTGATGATTTCTAACTCTTTATGTAAAAAAACCATATCTAACCCTGCACCAAACGTTCTTTCCCTGAAGTGCTCTCTTCTTTTTGAAGATTGTGTATCCAGGGCAGCTGTCCCAACTTGGGCTTGAATAAAACTCTTTTCCTTTCCCTTTCCCTTTAAAATTAAAAAGAAAAAAAGATTTGTTCATTTTGGGTCAACACAGTAAGAGTATTATTCTGCCTTAAAAGCGGAAATCCTGCCATTTGCGACAGCATGGGTAAGCCTGAAGGACACTATGCTAAGTGAAATGAGCCAGTGACAGGAGGCACCGAAAGTCATCCTACTTGTAGAATCAGAAAATAGAACTGTGGTTACCAGGGGCTGGAACACGGGGAGTTGTTCCATTGATAGAAAGTTTCAAGTATGCAGGATGAATTAATTCTAGAGATCTGCTGTACAACATTGGGCCTACAGTTAACAGTAATCTATTACACACAATTTTCTTGAGGGATTTCATGTGACGTGTTTTTAGAAAAACAAATAACCAAAGGGACACAAGGAAACTTTTGGAGGTGATGGATGTGTCTGTTACCTTGATCGTGACGATGATTCCACAGATGTATACATATGTCCAAACTCATCAAACTATAAAGTATGAGCTGGCTTTTGTATATCTCAATAAGGCTATTTTAAAAGAAAAAAGAAATCTAGGGATCAGTTAATAGAGGGTGGTGGATCTATATGTCCTGTCATGGAAATATCTTGGGTTCATTTTATTAAGTCAAGGTTAAGAGGCAGAACAATATGTACACTGTTAATGACAAATCTTAAAAATTCAATATATTTATTTTTAATATATTATTAAATATATTCAATATATTTTACTCACCTTCTAAAATATAGGCTTCATCGACATAAGAAAAAGCCTCAGGTCAGCTTAAAAATAACACACATCAGATTGTTCATTGTGATTATCTCTGAGGAGGGGGCTGAATTTTGAGGAAAGGGGAGATTGTAATTTATGTGTATTGTTCAAAGCTTTTAGAGGAACATATGTACTATTACCTTTGTTATTAAAATATTTAAATGCATCTCACCACGAAGGGAGTAGCTATGCATTAATCAGATAAAGTGACTGATGGCTGATCCAACAGCAAACTTGCCAAGGCTTAAAACAACAAAAGTTTGTTTGTCATACACATAGTCTGATGTGGGCTGGCGGGGGCCTCCTCTGTCAGATGACGCAGGGCTCCAGGTGGCTCCCATCAAATGGCTCCACTTCTCAACAAGGGTCTCCGGGTTTGCTGCTGAATGAAACAGAAAGCCTGGAGGAGGCATACTGGCTCTCAAATATCTTGGCCTGGAGGTGACAAACACTGTGTCTGTTCTTATTTCAGTGTCAGCGGTAGTCGCATGACCCTTCCTAAGTAGGGTGAGAATGTAGTCTCCCCGTCAGCCCAGGAAGAAGACCAAGACACAATGCCCATGAGCACTTGCAGCCTCTCTCATAAATTGTCACACAGTAGGTGCTCGATAAAGAGCAACTATTAAAATTTGTTATGAAAATAACCCTCTTCTTGGAGGCCAGTTTGCCTTGCAATTCTTCCATTTTTTTCCAATCCTGCTGTGTGGCAGGTGCTTTCAAAGACTGGATCACATTTAATTTTCAAAAGGATCCTGTAAAATCTGAGGAAAGAGGGCTCACCTTTTGCACTCAATGGCACCTTTCTGTACTCACCTTTTAAATGAATTCTAGAATCTCTATAGGATGAGAATGGTCTCCTTCTATGGAAGCATGGTCAAAACTTGTGAGACTGGGCAATCCTTAGCATGACTGAATGTGCAGGACCCTTTGACAGATGCCATTAGGCCCAAAGACAAACCAGAATTTTTCTCCGGGGCAAGGACTGAGATAAGAGGCAGAAGAAGGGCAAATTATTTTAGTCTTTGCTGTTCCAAGATAGAATGTCTGTCAAGAAACCATTTTTTTCCCCTTAGAAAAACTCTGGGTTCTGAGGAATTCAGCCTCAGTAGATGTTTGCTGCACAGTGATTTCCACATCTAGCAAATTACAAGGGAGGCTTTGATTACTGACCGTCTATGTAAGCTCAGTCACTGGTGTGTGTGTTCAGTGGCCAGTCTCAAACACCACACTCCTGCAAAATCCTACTGACAATATCTGTGCTGTTTACAGAACCCTCTATCTAACTTCAGTTACACCCCAAGAACCAGTATATTCTGTAAGTAAGACTCTAACCACCAGCTCATTTGGAATACACTTCGAGACTGTTGTAGGGATGGGAGGGGTGGTAATCCGGTATCTAAGCTTCACGGTCTATGGTTTCACTGAGGGATGGAACCTCCAAGGTCCACTTGCAGGGAGGTGGAAGGCTCTAAGGGGAGGGCAGGTGATTCAGGACTGTCTGAATCACAGGAAGCTGGGTGCAGCCTCCAGCAGACACAGTGGAGAGCTGGTCAGCAAATGAGGTTCCTTTTCAGACAGGAGGGCACACTGGGGAACACTCAGGACACAAGGGCTGTAATGCAGGCAAGTGCTGGGACAAGAGGAGCCTCACTCAACAAAGCGCACAGACAGTCCCCAAATCGTGCTTTCTTCTCACCTTCACCTTCCTTCACCAGGACCACTTCTAGCACTGTGGCTAGCGCGTCTGGGTTTTTAATGACCTGTGACACACATTGGACTAGTGAGAAGAATAGAAAAAGAAGAGACAGAAGGTAGCCTCAGGCTGGAGGAATGGAAAAGTGTGGGCCCCAGTCAAATATAACCAGGGATCAAGTCCTAGCTCTGCTACTTATTAGCCATGTGAACTTGAAAAATTACAAGTTCTTCAGCTGCGAAGTATGTCTGATAAGCCCCATCCTGTGGGACTATTGGAATAAATGTAATGGGTATGAGGCCCTTGGCAGAGTAATTGGAAAATAGTAGGTCTTCAATGAATGGTAGTTATCATAGGGTTTTTTTTGTTTTGTTTTGTTTTTTTAACTTGCAGACGATACCATCCTCCCCTCTGGGGAGATTTATTATTTTAATTTTTTGAAATTTATTTTTTACTTCAGGAGAGATCACAGAATATGCAGCTTTCTATGACAAATAATACCAAATTAACCCATAATGCTGCTTAGCAAGTAAAACAAAAGAAGGTTTTCCCAGTTCAGGATAAATTACTTAACTTGGGTGTAGAAGAGTCTCCCCCAGCCAGAGGCAACTCAGATGTCCCAGAATGTGTCAAGGACCAAGACCTTTGCTCCCAGGTGCCTTTCCAGCCAAACCACCCATTTTCACTCATTTCACCACCACCAAAAATCTAATCCTCCCTTAGAATTTGCAAAATTACACTCCCGATAATCTAATTAAAATGCCCTATAAATGCATTGGGACCTGGTTCTCCACTCAATTCAGAGCAAGGAGAGCCAACACAGTAACTTCTCAACATCCCACCTCAAAGGAGTAGCATCCTTATTAGATATTCCCTGAAGATGCTATGCCTAAAACAATGAGATTGTGCTCTTTGTCCAACTGCCCATGAACAAGAACACAGGATACCTTCCATTTCTGCCTGTGGAGGAGGTTTTCCTCTGGTTTACCGAGGATACCAAAGAAACATAGAAGCGTGCATTTCACGTCTTCCAACACTAAGAAACCATCGGTCTGTCTGGCCTCGGCTCACCAGTCCCATAGCCCCATGTGGCCTGCCATGCAGCTTAAATTAACAGTCTATCCCACCGAGGGGCTCATAGTGGCCTAAAAACCCCAAACTGCCTTTCTTCAGGGAATTTATACCTTCTTGCTCAGCCAGACACCCTCCCTGTCCCACTTCTCCCAACCCTCTCCCTGCCTCCTTACCTCTTTACTCCTTCTTACTGGTCCTTTAGGTCTTAGAGGGTCCTTCTCCATCTTCTTTATATGATTACTGTTCCTGACTGCACAATCTAAGGCCAGGAGTGTTTTATATCCTAGCTTCCCCATTTCTAACACTAACTTTTACAGAGCAGAAGCTCAATTAGTATCTGGAAAATAAATGACCCAGCAAGCATGAATTCTAGTATTTAAACATTTTATTTCTCCTCCATTCTTTAATAAGCCAAACAAATCCATGTATGCATCTTCTATCCTTACAGAACAACAGACTAAAAAGTATAGGGGAAACCAAGAACAGAACCTCTTTTACTTCTCTCCCCTCCATTTTTTGATCCCAGTAATTTTACTGCTAAATTTTTTCGCATTTCCAAGCGAATGCCTGTTACAACGCCATGTTTTATTGTTCTGTTTTGGTAAATATGAAAGGTTTCCCAATTTGTTTTACTAAATAATAAAACTCCTAATCTTAAATCTATTAAACAGAAACAAAAAACCAAAATCATTAATAAATTTAGATTCAAAAATTATATAAACTTTCTGTTAAAGAAATAACATTTGAAATAAAAAGAAAAAGAAAGTGAAAGGAAGAAAGAAAAAAAAAAGAGAAAGAAAAAAGAAAAGGAACAAAACCTTTAAGTTTACGAGATATAGCAGGACCACAAAGACGATATTCACTGTGTTCCTCCCAGACACACCCTGGCCATCTATTCCTTAGAATGTTGACTGCTTTTTCCTTCCACAAAGAAAACAATCTGCTTCAAGCTTCAGCATTTGATATAAAACCTAAAAAAAAAAAAAAAAAAAGTGAAACTCCACGTTACTGACATACAGGAGGAAGGCAGGGATGATACACACTTCTCCAGCCCCGCCCTGGCCCGCCGCTGTTAGAACGGTGACGCACCTGTTCAACCAGCCGCCTTTGATATAAAACCTAAAAAAAAAAAAAAAAAAGTGAAACTCCACGTTACTGACATACAGGAGGAAGGCAGGGATGATACACACTTCTCCAGCCCCGCCCTGGCCCGCCGCTGTTAGAACGGTGACGCACCTGTTCAACCAGCCGCCCACGTCACTTAGGGTGGGAGAAGCTGCTGGTCAAGGCCCTGGAGCGTGCACTGGCCATGGCAGCGGTCTGAGCCCTGGCTGTGGCTCGGGCTCGGGCTCGCTCTTCCTCATCTTTCAAAGCCTCTTCGTACCACGACGGGAAGGCACTGGGGACGGTATCATGAACCTTGGCCAAAAACTCTAGGACTCTCATCTTGCTGGTCTCAGCATGGGCCCTCGGGCCCCACAGGAACTCGTAGCGTGGAGGATCACTGTTGGCCACCTGGCGGTACTCCAGGTACTTTAACTGCACCAAATCTTGGGTGATGAGCTTCCTGGGCTCCCCATAGATGAAGTGCTTCCTGTCAGCATAGACGCCCATCATATTCAGGACTTCCCAGACTTGCTCCTCAGGGGCGCAGTTGCCTTTCATGAAGATCACACCCAGCACAATCATCAGGATGCCAGTCTTGGGTATGTTCTCTTCTTCATGCATCGTGCCATCGACGGTGAGGTCGAGTTTGCTGACGAGGGCGTAGCAGTGCCGGATGGGATCCACTTCCTTCAAATCAATCCCGAAGGCCAGCTCCATGTGCTCAGAGGCTCTCTTGAGGATCTCATTGAAATGATACTTGTACTTTTTGATGACAAGCTTCAGCATGTCTGCCTTCCTAACTGGCTCTCTCTTTTGATATTTCTGCAGCAGGAAATGCACCAACAAAACTACCTGCTTGTTTAATGGGTCTCTGTATGAGACCTCAGCACTATTAGACGATCTGGGGCTTCCCTCATCTTGGCTTCTGGCACCTTCATCTGAATCATCGGTGCATGAAAGAGCTGCATCAGCACTGGTGGAAGATGAGGTTCCCTGAGGATGGCTAGGAGTCGCAGCAGCAGGTCTACCCCCAGAGAGAGGACAGGCGGTGGAGGGGGACTCTCCTGCTGCTGCTGCAGTAGCCTCAGCATCCTTCAGAGTCTGGGTCTCACCACGGGCCTGGCGGCGTTTCTCACGGGCACGGAGCTTACTCTTCTGACCTCTAGGCATGGTGACTCTGGTCGGGGATAGCAGGCAGGAGTTAGGTGCAAGCAGTTAGGCTGATGAAGAGGTCACCCTAGAATATGGAAGAAGAGATGGTGGGCATAGCCTCGATAAGGATATTCTAGTTGGGCTCCAAGAAAAGGTGCCTCTGCTTATTCCCTTAAGGGTACTGTTTTAGGAACCCATAAAACAGGGGTGAACAGGACTCCATGCACCTCCTCTCTTCTGTGGGGGCTTGTCACCTCAGTTCTAACTCAGAATACTAAACCTGACTCCCGATCGGTCTTTTGAAACCTCCCCCCACTGACTTGAGGCTGCCCCTTCAGAAAAAGACCTCCCATCCCACAAATGCCGAATGCGGAAGTGAGGGGGCATTAAGCCTAACAGCCACGCTTCGGCCACGAGGTCCGGGCAGTGGGGGCGGGGCATGCCAGAATAGCACGGGGCTCTTTGAGCCACCTCAGTTCTGAAAGGAATGCATCTCTTCAGTTCTAGCAAGTTACTCACCTTGACACCTGTCCAGTCCTGGCACTCCTCCCTTTGCTGGCGTGAGACCACACCTCTACACCTCCCACAGCGAGGACTGAGGCTCCGCTGCGCATGTAGCAGAAATCAGAGTGAGCACTTCCGGCCACGCCCACCTGGGCTTCCCAGCATGAAAGCCCGCGTGGGTTTCTGGAGGGCTCCCCTCAGTAATGGTGGCGGAGGAATTATGCCGAAGTCAAATGGGGTCCTTCCTGACTCCTGTCAGGCAGGGCCTGGGACTTCTTCCTCTGGTGAAGTTAGCTCACATCAGACCATGGCTTTCATTTCCCTCAGAACCCCCAGTAGGGAGTAAAGCGGAAGCAGAGCCGAGCAGCCATGACTGAGTCCTTCCAAAACTGACCGGCGC